ATTAAATTAGACTAAAGTCGTGTTGGCCGAAGCGCTTGATAATCGAAAAGCGGTACTAGATGCGATGGTTTGTCTCTCATACAGACTTCTTAATGGATTTACCGAGAAGATAAACATATATACGAACTCCTCATGATGACAAACTAAGGTGGAATGTAGACAATTTTTAAATAATGGGGCTCGAGTCTAAAATAATACATATATACGTTTGACGGAACTCTTAACTTTACGCATGGTTATAACAAATTTACCGCACTTGTCCGAGGTTTAATCGCTACCACAGGAAAGGGTGAACCATCCTCTATCAGATTCTGCAAAGATTAGGTGCCTCTTCGTGCCCCTTTTCGAGAAATTGGCGATTGTACTAAGTAGGACTCGACCAGAAAATAGTATGTACGTTTGTACACTCACTTCTATGATTGTTACGTACATCTTGTCATTTTTAAATTACTAAATACGTTTCTCTCATAGTTAACAACAGATTTGAGTCGAATTTCGGTTAAATAACGACAAATATGTCAAACAAGTGAAAGATATATTGAACGCGTTCCATTTTATACGTGAATATTTGGACACCCTGTAGCTGAAATTGATTTATACTAATACAATTGAAGAATCATAGTATAGGAAATAAGTTCCTAAAATTTCATTAAAATATTTTCAAGAGAACCAAAGTTAGGAATTTTTGATCGCCGAGAGCCGTTTTGTACCACTGTGCGGCGTGGTTAAGTAGCGGAGCCATCGAACGAGGCGCCCTGTCCTTTAATTACTTGCGTCTCGAGATCAAAAACTTTGATGAGAGTGTTGCGAATTCAGATTAATTTAAGTTCCGCGGTCGTCGGGGAATTTCGAATATATTAACCGAGCTTGGAAATTGTGGCGTGCTTCCGCATGCATTATCGTATACCAGCGTTACGACGTCGTTCACGGAGTAACAATTATTCGTCAGCAAATTAAATCAGTAGCAGCGTATCGAAAATATGAAATTATAGAGATACGAACAATGATAGGGAAATTATTATCGACACTTTTAGGATCGACGTTTTATTAGATAATTACAGTCGGCAGCTCACGATACATTTGAAACTGCGGATCTTTGTGCAAAATAAAATCTTTGCGAAGGTACCTAGACAAATTCAAACTAAATAGAAATTTATAGTATGAACTTTACTTTCGATATTTTCTTATATTATCGCATACTGTGCATTTTATGGTTTCTTGCGCATTCGCGTTTCTTGTGAATGGATAAAAATCCGCAGTTCAGTCGCTAGTCTGGAATTTGTCGAAGACAATTGCAGTCGGAGTTCGTTGGATTAAAGATACGCGAATGTGAACGTAGTCGGGATGTTTTCCAAGCTCTGCTCATCGTGTCGATACAGTAGTCGTTGACCACCTGGTCGTGGAAGCTTAGAGTTGATCTCTGCCACGAAGTTCCGTATAGTCGCCGAGCCTCGGAGCTCCACCGCATTTATGACGTCTTTCCTGAACCTGGGTATAAGAGCTTTGATCACAGAGTTTAGCACTTTATCGAACACGTGGCCCTGGAGCTCGACGTCTATGTTACTGAAAATTAAATCAGATCAAAGTGTCAGGATAAATCTCGCCAATTTCTAATTCACGGTAAAAACGTAACGATTACCGTATTTTGATGACCTTGAACGAATCGAAAATTAGTTTATGGTTGACCATGTCCAGTCCCAGTACGAGTCGCAGGTCGACGTTTGAGAATCGACCGACGAAGCTTCCCTTTCTCGAGACGATTCCGTATTTGAAAAAGTAGTCGTAGTTCAGCTGAAAATTTTAATTAATAATAGAAAACGGATAACGTATTTTCCAGTGCTGCAATTAGTTAACTCCGTTCATTGTTTCTAGCCTTACGTTAAGAGTAGGTAATCTCAGGGACATGTCTAACGTCAATATTTTGTTTTCGTAAGTCAAAATGACGTCGGATACGCGCGTTATGCTTCCCAGCCCTTTCAACGAACCCTTCGTCATGTTGAGAACTCCATTGTGAACCAATGGTCCGTTCTGCAAGAATTAGAAAACCGATAGAAACTGTTGTTTATCGAATATACAAATCAAGCAATTTTGATTAGTACACGTGAAAATAAATACCAGCTTTTCGCTGACGTCGTCCATTTTCAATGGGTCCAGCGACTCGTTCTGGATGATCCGTCGAATCATTGGCAACATCTTGTCGAACAGCTCGTTGATTTTTATTGATACTCTTTCGGAGTATTCATTGTTTAATCTACAAATCGAGAAAAAGAATATCCACTTGGAAAATATACAAGGACGATGCCAACATTGACCCCTTGCACTATTTTCTGACTCGTGAGGACAATTTTAGGGCAAATTTGAAAATCACGAGTCCGACTCGTGATGATATTTCAGACCAAATTTAAAAATCACGAGTCTGATTCGCGACGAAAATTTTAGTCCATACTTGAAAACCACGAGCCGGGCTCGTTGTTAAATTTAGCGCGAGTTTCAACATAGTGCAAGGGTTTAAAATCGACTCCGTAATTTGAGGTTAAGTTTGAAACCGTGTCTCGTAAACGTTTGAATGTTTATTTAAAAGTGTTACATTAACAAAAACCTACAATGTACTTCTAACATGTAGTCGTTCAAATTTAATTCAAATTTTATAACTTTTTCCAAGTTCTCTTCGATCACTGTTTTTTCAACATATCGTAAGACATCAACGATCGCGAATTTTGAATCGAACCTTTTCCACTTTAATCATGGAGACACGAATTTTAATAGAATTCCGAGCGTCAACTTCAACAATTTCCACTTTCACGAATTAATAAATTCACAATGAATAAATTCACAATGAATAAATTCTGTCTATTCTAAATGATCACCATTATTTCATCGGTTCATCGACTGATCGAAAACTTACTCAAAATCGGCCGAATGAGCGAAACCCACAACGAGTAGGACGGACGCGACGGCCAAAAGGAAATTTCGAATTTTAGCCATGGTTCATCCGTTCACGAAACGAACCAGAGTGGACAAATACGAGTGGACGATACCCGACTACCGTTTGGGTTGCCTTTTATCGACGATTTATTGCGTTATCTCGATGCATTTTATCGAGAAACAGTACTTGATAGGTCAGGTGACACTGATTCTTTTGCGAGCGAAGACACGAAGATCCCTGGATCGATTGTTGTTTCGATTTTTTCAGACTAATTTTCAGACTAACGGTAAACAGTCGCGGAGATGATTCGCGTCGTTATATCGAGGGAGGAATACGTCGTTATAACGAGGTTTTCGTTATTATACATTTTATTCACGTTGCGGTACGTTCGGTCACGAACAACGAAAGAATTTTCCACAGAGAAATGATCACACTCATCCGTGCGAGTCGTTCTTGTACGATTTCAGTGGCGAATCTTTCGATTTCCTCGGTCAGGGCCTCATTCGCGAAAAATAAGCCGATATTTGCAACGGGTGTTCCCAATTGTTCCACCAGGCTGCTCTCGTCTGTAAAAATCGCCATAGATCTGCAAAAATAATAGATTGGATATTAGGTAGACTGGAAAGTAATATCGTTACTTTTGCGTTAAATTCAAATAGATTTTTAATAAATTTCTATTTTTAATCAGTTATGCAATCGCCATCGTTATCAACGGCCTTTTGTCATCTATTGTGGAACTTTTCAATGCTAGATCGATCAAAATCAACGAGCTGTGAGTGATAAACAAGTATTTAAAAACGACGTTACATTCCAGTCCATCTAATACATATACATATACGTATATCTTCTGGCATTGTTTTCCACTACAAAAAACACGCGAGATATTCAAGACGGTGTACCCGATCCTCTTCAGTTTGAGCTCCTTGAGAGAAAACTGAAAGCCCAAGATATCGTAATCGACGCTGACGTCGACCAAAATCGAGTCCGCCTCCACCAGTAGCCATCCGTATCCTCGCAGGAAGAGCAGCTCCACGAAATAGTCGACGTCGAACTGAAACACATGAAAGTAAAACAGTGGCACAAATAGTACATGAAATAGTGGCACGCGTCGACTGTCGTCGATCGAGTAGCAATGGGGTTACCAAAATGTAGTCGAACACAATGCTTGCGTCGATACGTAGTCTTTTATCTCTGTACATGGCTACCACTCTGCCAGCTCGTTCTAATTTCGACACGTACGACACCAGTCCCGAGGAGAGGGAATACTTTAATTTTCCGCATGCTCCAAACATAAACGGGACACACTGAAAAGAGAAAGAAAAAAGAAAAAGAAAAAAAGAATAGAACCCCTTTCTTCAAATTTCATTTTAAATCTATTCTTTACTTAACTTTGTACAGGACAAGTTATATGGAAAATTACTTTATCCTTCAATCGGTCCTTGAAGTTTGTTAAGTATTGATAAACGTGATCGCAAATCGCGATTAATGAATATTGTACAAGGCTTGTTAGTCGATAGATAACGGTTACACAATGACGACAATGCGCGTACGTTTTTTTTATTTTTTTTTATTTTTTTTTTTTTTTTTTAATTTTCGTTCATTGTCTTATACGCCAGGTGAGGATTATCACCATTGCGAAAAATTCGCGTCGGTTTTCATCTTTTCTCAAGTTCAAATTTAACGAGAGCGTTGATTTGAATCGATCAGAGAAAGCGGATTAGGTGGTTAAACAAATCCACCAGATTACTCTGACGTGTCTGACCTAGAACCGGGACTATTTCTCGATTCTTTTTTTGAGGTTCAATGCGTTAACATTGAAATCACGTTTTTTTTTTTTAATTTTCGTTCATTGTTTTATACGCCAGGTGAGGATTATCACCATTGCGAAAAGTTCGCGTCGGTTTTCATCTTTTCTCAAGTTCAAATTTAACGAGAGCGTTGATTTGAATCGATCAGAGAAAGCGGATTAGGTGGTTAAGCAAATCCACCAGATTACTCTGACGTGTCTGACCTAGAACCGGGACTATTTCTCGATGCTTTTTTTGAGATTCAATGCGATAACATCGAAATCACGTTTTATCGCGAGAATGACACTTTTATATCACGAGATTAAAATTAATATCGATTCCATTATATCTTTATGAAGTATCATCGATAGACGTCTGGAGTTCTCCTGATAAAAATTAGTCCAGACACGATCATAGTTGGTCAACTTTTAGTTCATCATCAACATTGTTCAACATCACTGGACGATGATAATTATTGAAAGTTAAATGTTCGTTTGGGACATCGACAGTTGACCTTTGATTACTCGGTTAATTACTGAAACTCATCCCGAGGGAATGATTCGTGTATAATAAATATTTGTGCAGCAACCAATTTAAAATAAATGGTTCCTGTACGAATACTTATTATACCGACTGTATGTCGAGTAACTAACCCTTTGCGTTCGAGGCATTTTTCTATAGAATCAAGTCCAGTTCATTTTTATAATAAATTTCTGTCATACCGAAAACTCTACTTGGAAGAAAAACATCTACGAACGTTCATGACTCAATGTATAATATTATTATTTCGATTAACAATTAGTTGCATCACGATGTAAGTGAATTTGAAATTCTACGTTCACAAAATCACTATTAAATTACATTATGTCGCCCTAGAGGCGCCAGCCGAGCGGAAAGGGTTAATGTAACGCACTAGAGACGGCCCTGAACTTACGCCACGGACTTGTCACGTGAAAACAGACGTTCACGACCATCGACGTCGACGATCCGCTTTCGATTTCGTTCGACTTTGAATTCAAAGGAGAGGAATGCAGTCGAGTAACGGACCTCGGGATACAGCGGTATAACCGTCTCGTTCCGAGAAGAAAGATCCTCGGCAAAGGAGGTTCAACGACACCGATTCACTATCGTTTTCGTTCGAGGTCCAACGCTCCGTCGATCTCGCTTTCGTCGATCGGACGTCTCGCGCGAGTTCCGCGTTCTCTTTCCCACCGTGACCCATTAAACCTTCAAACTCGATTTCAACCTCGAAACCCAACATTCCAAGGCGACGTCGAAGACGCGCGAACTTTTGCGACTCTTTCATCTTTTCGCTAATTTCAAATTTCGTTAGTTCAACAATTGAGGTTAGATCGACCGGCCAATCCGCTGAAAAATTCACAAATCGCGGAACGTATCGTACACTTACCATCCAATAGCCTTTGCGAATATCCGGGATCGTCAATGGATCCAACTTGCTCGCGACGATAAATTTCGATACGAACGGAAACAAATCGTCAGCGATTGTTGTTAAATCTACACAGAGCGCTTCTAAACACAGCTTGTCATAATACGTGTCTTCTTTCATTGAGTCGTTGTACTTTAACCAAGGACCAACGCTGTTTACATTTCTTGCGTCTGGTTCGGTCGCAGGTACGAGTACGATAACGACGATGTAGCACGCCAACGTAGCATCGGTAAAGGAAAACGGTTTTCCTCGCATTTAAATCTCGAATACTTCAACGTTTTATTTTTTCCCTGTTACGGAATCCAAATGCAACGACCACGCTCTCACTATTTTTCCTTCGAACAAGTACGAACAAGTACGAACATTTTCAGTTACGCTACGTTGTTTCGGTGAAACAATTGCCATTAAAATTTTTATCTGACTAATTTACGTTTCGAGGGAATTGTTATCGTTGGACATACATCGTTGTACGGCTAAGCGATTAGGGAATGTTCTTTACGTCGTGCAGTGTTGTATGATTATAAAAACATACGAGTAACGTGTTTGTACATGAATCGGTTCTTTAATAGCATTCAATAGACGAAAAGGTACATCAATGTTCTGGCTGCCACCTGAAATCAATAATCGAGGAGATCCTGGACTCGACCAACGACGATTCGTCGACGTTATCGACGCGAGTGTAGTTAGTTTCAATTCTCACCGCTCGTGGCGCTGCAATTTTATTTCAATCGGAATTGGTAAGGTTGTAAGTGATACAAAAATGGTAAGATTCGGAAAGGGATGCCTAAAAACCATGTACTTGTTCGCATACATTGATAGAATAGGGTACTATGGTTTTCTTTCACTTTTTAGCTCTGCTCTCCCGTTTTATCCGTATCTCTAAGCCTATAGCGAAGAAATACAGAGTGTTCCAAAAATGTTGGAGGTCCTTGGAAAGGGTGGTTCAGGGGGTGATTTGAAACAACTTTTTCCTTTGCAAAAATGTCGGATGGGGTTTCGTTAAGTAGATATTAATAAAAAAAAACCGACCAATCAGAGCGCGCGGATACCGTTTAAGCGGCCGTGGTAGCGAAGGCTACGCGCTGAGCGGCCGCGTCCAATGTCCTTCGATGCACGTCGAGTCACTTGTTCGCGTACGAGAGCGGCTACCTAGCGCGTAGCCATCGCTATCGCGGCCGCTCCAACGGTATACGCGCGCTCTGATTGGTCAGTGTTTTCCGTTAATATCTCCTCAACGAAGCCTCGGACAACAATTTCGCTAAGGAAAAAGTTGTTTCAAATCACCCCCTGAACCATCCTTTTCAAGGACCTCCAACATTTTTGGGACACCCTGTATAGTCTCTACACGTCGTCTGTGGTGCCATCGTGGAGACCAAGCCACAGTTACGAGTTTCAGCGTTCTACATTAGCGACGTTAATTAATTCGTACGCTTACAATCTCTATAACCTCTCGATTCAGTTTGGTCTGCGATTTGATTCCCTTATTTCTTTTATTCGTGCAACGTTCAATGATCTTTGATTGGTGTAAAGAAAATATTTTTATTATCGTTAATAACGCTGAATTACGCTTCGAACGTCCGGCTCTCAGAGATAGGCAAAATTCCATTCGAATAATACGTGGGCTTAGCAGCAACGCATAACGATGAACTGCGATGAACTTGTTATTCAAAGAAGTTTCTTTTCGCGCGATATTAAATGTAATAATTTCATTGTACAATTTTAATTCCAATCTTTACTGGATGAGTAACGAATGCAAATTTGATCAATGGTTCTGCTTTAACGTTGGTGGAATTCAGAGCTGGGTAAAATACGTATTTTAAATAATAAACAGTAAGTAAATATTTTATTTCGGATCATGCAAGTATTTTTAAAAATAAAATATTTTATTTGTTATAAAAAATGTTTAAGATATTATTTCAACTAATATTTTCTTTGAAAAACACTGTAAATATTTGCACCATAGTTCGGAATATTTTATTTATTCAATTTATTATCAGCAGATAAAATATTTTTATTTTACTAAATTATAGTGTAAAGTATATTTATTTTGGTAATTTAAAACAAACCAAGTACTTTTCCTCTGCATTATAAATATACATTCAATGTAGTTCTTTAATGAATACTTCTATTAAGAATTATCAATAGGAATCTTCATGAAATGAATAATGGAAAGAGATATTGTTCAATCGCAAGAAACAGTTTCTCCATCTGTGTGTCATATTTACACAGTTTATTTTCAGGTTAAGAGCTATGGAAAGTATTCAATTTTATGCTTTATGTTATTAAAATGAAACATATTTTATTCGATGTGTTAGATTATCAAAATAAAATATTTATTTTCATGGTTTAACTGTAGATTACCAAAATAAATTATTTTATTTTAAGTTTTACCTTATGAAAATAAAATACTTTACTTGCTGAAATTTTATGTTCCATTTGAAATGCTATTTTATTTGAATTCCGAAGAATCTATTATTTAAAATAGTATTTAGAATATTTTCTCTACAAATATTACCCACCTCTGGTGGAATTAGAATTACATCATAACTCAGAAATAAACTTAATCGTTAATTAATAATAAAGTCGAACGAAAAACTTCCTTATCGAGTAATACGATTGGATCGAAAAAGTAACGCTTCGAGTTGATCATTAAAAGGTCGAACGAATGTTTATCATTACGTCATTACGTGTGAACACGTTTCCGTGAGCATTCCAGAAAGGAAAACCGTGTAACGTTGGCTATAACGCGATAAAACAACATAAAGAATGAAAATAATGACAAAATTGTTATTTTCTCGAGCTCGCGACCTGTCAATTCAATTTATTTCTCGCTATTTTTGCGCTTCTGTTTGTTTTCGTTTCATAGGTGCTGCGCGCCAGATATGTAGATGAATAATAGATTACAACACGGTCGTTATTTACAAAAACAAGCTGTTCATACGTTTCACGGGACGGATAACTTCAATCGAGAGTCGTAAACACATGTAAAATTTAAATAAATTGGAAAAATAACAAATGTACACGTGCGATTTTTCTCTAGTACACGCTATCGATGTACATGATTAATTGATTCAAACAAAGGCGCGTTAATCGTTGTTTTCTTCCAATGTTACTCTTATCTTTTCCTCTTCGCCTTTTTTTTGTAACCTAAATCAACTGTTTTTTCTAACTTATCAGCAACGTTGAAGAGTGCTTTGTTGAAAGGTCATTGCACCATATTTCTAATCGATTTGTTTTTCGTTTCAGGGAGTCGCCGGTGCGTAAAACTTTACACTTCGTAAACACTTCGCAAACAAATAACCACGATACGGCGTTATCTCTTGTTCGAGCCGCGCCCTTGAAGATGTTTGTCAACAGTTCTCCGTCGACCCTGGTCCCATCCTTTTCGAGCTGGAACACATTATAAGCCTGAACGCCCAAGGCGAGCAACGTACGGTAAAGTCTCGACTTGATACTAATAGTATCCGCGACGAAACGAATTCATGTATTCTACATACGTTCGATATACGTTCCTTTGTCGACGCGCTCTACATATGCGTGAAAACCGTTATCTACTAATCACATTTCTCCTGATAAACGTAATCTATCGGGAGAAAATTGTTGACTTTGTAGAACAATGGAACCGAGTGTGCCGATCAACAATGTACAAAGACGCGTCATCGCGCAGCGAAATGAAAAAACTACAAGCATAAGCTAAACTTTATTTTATTTTATTTTATTTTATTTTATTCGACTATTTTCGCTTCTTAACACATTAAGGACCGCACATCTAGAGACTGCGTGTAGAAAACACGAGACAACTCGTGAGCGGTCCTTAATGTGTTAAATATTTCCAAAAAGGTTTGTTATAGGCCACGAGTTGCGGGCGCCATCGATAATTCTGCCCAAGGGCCCAGGCGAGGTTAAGGCCGGCCCTGGCCGAACGTCCCTAGCGGCTCGATGATTTCCTGGCACGCTCTACGCGTCTCTACGAAGTCGAAATAAAGCAACAGCAAAATAATCTTGTTTGTCGACCGCTATCCAACTTCCATATCCTCCTTTCGAGTTCACGGCTCTCCAATCAGAGAGCTGGGATTCGTGGGCGTGTGCAATACCGCGTCCGTGACGTTTCGTGCTATTACGCACACGTTACGAAATTCGTTGTTTTTCGATGCGCGCGCTCTCGGATCCGTTCGGGTCGCGTTAACCTTGCTGTCCTTAGAACGTAAACACCTCGAACTACGCCATATACAATTGTCTAGCATAAACAATCGACAGAGCCAAGCTAAGTTAGAATCAAATATACGCTGTATAAGATTGAACAACAACATTCAAGGCTCTAACAAATGGTAATAATTTTTATAATCTTACATTCAACGATGCCCTAGCTTTTTTTTTTAATTCTACGTTAATTACTTTTTAATTGGATAATTTAGAAATATATAAGGTGTCGTTATGACGAAATCTATTTTAAATCTATTCCAAATGTCTCGCGAATGAGTCAAAGGGTGATTAACGAAATTAAATTAAATTAGAAATTATCGCCCAATTCTAGATCGTTATCACGAGGTAACGATAACAGCGCAGCAATATTACTAATTAAAGGCAAGTTTTCGCATCTATCCATCTGCGTCGAACGCAACAACCTGCGACGGTCGCGCGAGGGTGAAAGGCGCGAGTAATCGAGACCCAAGTATCGATCTCGCCATTTTCTCTTGCGAACTTGGTTCTTTTGCGTCGTACTAACGCCCCGTGACTCGCAAAAAAGTGAAAACATTTCTGAACCATCGTTTCCAATCGCCATTCATCGCAACGATCAACGTACGAATAAAACGATACGAATTAAAGCACAACAGAATTAATCCTTTCCTCTCGAGAGACGACATAGAAGCGAGTCTTTATTTATCTTATTCGTTGAAATCTAAGTATCTCGATATTTTTGTAGCGATATTGCTTCATAAATAGGTTGCTAAGGTGTAAACTGGTACACTTTTATTTCCACGACTCTCCAATTATGGTAGAAGAAAATTTAGCCTGAATTGTAATCTGAATTGTTAGTTCTCTGCAATGAAACTGTCGTCGAGTGCAAAGGGTTAGACGAATACTCTTTCAAGTAGGTTTCGTAGATCAAACTGGTACAATTTGAAGTAGTATAGTAAGATATTCTATTTTCACGACTCTCCAATCATGGTAGAAGAAAATTTAGCCTGAATTGTAATCTGAATTGTTAGCTCTCTGCAATGAAACTATCGTCGAGTGCAAAGGGTTAGACGAATACTCTTTCAAGCAGGTGTCGTAGATCGAACTGGTACAATTTGAATAGTATTAGGTTGTCCCAAATGTTTCTTCCATTTCATTAATAAGTAATACATACACAATATTTTACGTCTAATGTTAGATTATTAAATTGCGTACGGTTCATTTTGCTCCATTACTGTTATACAATATTAACATGTAATCAATTAGGTTGTCTATTTATATAAACATTGCCACACAAAATAATTGAATGCAAGTCACGGAAGAAACTTTTGGGACAACCTAATAGTAAGATATTCTATTTTCACGACTCTCCAATCATGGTAGAAAAAAATTTAGTCTGAATTGTAATCTGAATTGTTAGCTCTCTGCAATGAAACTATCGTCGAGTGCAAAGGGTTAGACGAATACTCTTTCAAGCAGGTGTCGTAGATCGTATATTCCTTATGGTTCAGAAATAGTAACCCCAGTCACGCGTTGTTATTCGACTAAAAGACCGAAAGCAGAAACAGATGCGAAGAAGGGGTCGAAATGGGAGCAGTTCGACTCTGTTCGATTCGAGGTCTCGGTGGCGTGAGGTCGAAAAGAATGTTTTTTTTTTCCTTTTAACCATCGCCACGTGTGTTATCACACGGGACGTCATCGTTAATCGATCTGGGTCAACAAACCGACGCGATTCGCTTCCTTTCTTTACCCAAGCGAAGATGGAGGCTCGACTGCTGGTCTGATGTCCACGACCAATGGGAACACTCCATTCCATCGAAAACACGAATCGCGCGATTTCTCCATCACGGTTTCACGCTGACGAATTAGGGCCCCACAGACCTTGACCAACACACGGAACCTTATTTCGGTGCGATGAGTTACTTTTTTTTAAGACAGGCTTCTCATTCAATTTAAAGAAAAGAGAAATAATTATTTGCATACATAGGTTCGTAACTTGTGCATCAAAAACTTTCTTTCGACTTTCGCACGTTCCTTTACATTCAAACTGTACGACACCCGTTCGTAGTAGTTACTCCCCCGAATTCGACTCTGACAAGAGTCACCGTTTCCAATTACAGCTACTTAAAAATAAATTGTGTTTAAATGGGTAGATAATTCTTTTTTCAAATTAACACGTAATTTCTCGACAAACTGATCGTACCAATACCTTTGTTCGGCACCGACTCGCGACCAATCGCGTTGGCGCGATCTCGCGCGCGCGATAACCGCCGTGTTATTTCGTGGCTTCTCGCGTCGGTGGCTCAGTTCGACTCGGTTGCTCGCGCGAAGCGGTTCTGCGGAGCTCACGCGGGACCTCCTTCTCCATTGTTCCGAGAAATATTCCGAAAGTTCGTTCGCGGGACGAATACGTCCCAGAGAGGCGAACGGTATATCAGTGGTATCGCGAAAATCTTTCTCGAAACTTTCTCGAAATCTTCCTCGAGCTTTATTTTTACCCATGCTGGCGTCGCGGCGTGGGAGGGTTACGATCGAACGGTGAATCCGCTGGTTTTTCTTCCTGGTCGAGGTCCTTCTCAACGTTTCGATTCGGTGAGTACGAATAATCGCCGTCGATGCGACGGAGATGTCTCTCTCGCTCCGATGATCTCGTTTCGCGCATGAATGACGGTGTAAGCGTTTATGAATGAGAACATCAAGTGGGAAATACACGCGAGTGTACGTCTTCTGCACGTATCGCGTTGGCGGATTGCGAAACGTTTTCCTGTTGGCAGAGACCACCGGCAGTGGTACATCCAGACATTTAGCGACGTGTAAATAATAGGGAAACGGTATAATTTATTTATTTCGATTAAGAGGAATTTGTGTATCGTACATTTTTCTTTATTGTTTATTTTCGGATGAAGCAAGTTTATACGTCGATACGCGATATATTTTTCCGGTAAATCAGGGAGTAACGAAATCGGACTTCGAACCTATTCCAAACTTTGGTTCGCGTTACACGCTTCCCTTCGGTCCTGCGAGCTTAGGAATATTTGAATGATTTGAAGACCTATTTAAATCTGGCTGGCCTATAAACCAAGTGTTCTCGCGGAAGATCGCGCCAGAGCTTCCGGTTTCGGGGCAGGAAACGAGAAAGGCGATTGCATAATTCGGTAGCCCGTCTTTGCGCTCACTGAGCACCGGTTGTCACCGGTTTCTGTGAAACTCATCTCTAGACAATTTCTCTGCTTTGATCTTATTTTCGTCGACTCGAGCAAAGCTCAAGGCCGTTGTCGGCGTTGCCATGTCCACTGCATAAAGAACTTCTAGCTAACTTAGTTGCATTTTATTATTGTAAATATCAAGAATTTCGAGAAATCTTCGAAATAATAATTATCCATTTCGTCTGTTCCGCTGTTTCGCTGTTTCGACGGAAAAGCACAGCTTTTTCGACACTTCTTCTTCGAGACTTGTTCGAGTTCGACGGAAAACAGATATCGATCACTGAACGGTGTATATATAGTAGGTTGTCCTGAAAGTTTCTTTCGCGAGTTGCACTCAATTATTTGATGTGGTCGTGTTTATATAAATAGACAATCTAATTTCATAGATATTCATGTTGTAACAGTAATGGAACAAAATGAATCGTGCACACATTCAGTAATATAACATGAAACATAAACTATTGGCCATGTATTACTAATTAATAAAGCGAAAGAAACTTTTGGGACAATCTAATATTTTGAAATAAAAACATATCGATCGCTGAAAGATATATTTTTAAATAAAAACCGTCATCGCTGTATTTAATTCGCGCTAACAGAGAAAATCGTCTTCCAAGGAACAATTCGGCAAGTTCAGTGTCAAGTCCAAAGTCTACGAATTGATCTGGGCAGTGGCCAATCGTTGTGGAACCCGGATATTTTCTCATGCCATTAATCACCCGTCGAACACAGCGTTCTGGTTCGGCCATTAAACGGCAAAGAGATGTCTAACTCGTTATAGAAATAACTGCCGCGTTCCAAAATTGGATTCGCGTGGACGTTCTCGTTGGACGCTCGTCGATTGTCGCGCGTCACCTGTGCAATCGATTTTAACACATTTGAGACCAACTTATTAGCGTTATTACTGTCCTTAAAAGCACGCGGTAGATATCGCGTAATAATCAGACTGTGACGTTTGATGAATTTGTGACGTACAGCAATCTAAAAAACAAATATTAAATATACGTAATGCATGTTAAATATATTCCGCAACTATTATAATGACACTGTTACTTCATTCTGCATAAGTGCACGTGTATTTTGGTTACGTTTAGCATATATTTATTACGGGGCTTCTTATTCTTTTTTTTATTCACGATCCTACTTATGATTGTGATTCTCTTCACATTGATTATGTAACAAAAACAAAAACAACAACAACACACACACACACACACACACACACACACACACACACAATATATATAAATGCAGTTTCGATGAAAAATAGGATATATCATTTTTGTAACAATAATAAATGCAATTTTGCAACTTTTCGTGCAATTTTCAATGTCGCATTTTTGTATGTTTTTAAACAAATTCTAAAACTATATTTTTTCATGTGTATATCTATATATATGTATATATTGCGTATGTATATATATGTATATCTATGTATATATGTATATATGTATATATATGTATATATATGTATATATGTATATATATGTATATATATGTATATGTATGTATATATGTATATGTAGACATTGAAAATTGCACGAAAAGTTGCAAAATTGCATTTATGCACAT